AACTCCTCGCTTGTTGTGACCTCCGTACTCAAGGTTGAAAATAGATCGATAAAGGCAGTGTTCTTGGTCACGGCTGAAACACGGCCTGCTTTCCATTTCGAAAAAAAAGCTAGATACATAATCGTTTCCGGAAAAGGCATGCATTCCCAAAAGAGTTCTTCTGTGACCAAGGGACCGTGAATCCAGTTGACGTCACGTCCCTGATTTTCGTGTTGTTCCCGCTGCTATTGTCAATCAGAATCTGCGTGTCCAAAAAATCGTGACCAATAATATTTGTTCAATATTAATAATCAATTGTTTTGCAGTAAAAACTGAATTATACAATTGTTCCTATGTTATGAACTAATTTGCATATTAACATTTTAACATATAAACGTACAGTATATAAATTTATATTTACATAATTACAATACAGTATATGGAGGACTAAACTTGTACAATTACATATATTTAATGGTAATAAAGATATCGAAACGTTCATTGAAGGTTCTCACAGTTCCACTACTATTTGGTCTGCGTAAAAAATAATCATGTTCGCCAAATGATCGGGAGGATCTGATTATATTATAGACTGGATTGTTTTTACAGGGTTTCTTCCGGGTTGAGTTGATAAATCTCCTACATAACTCATCTCTTCGACATTGCAAGGTTTGATTTTTGAGGTCTGCAATGCTTCATAATAAGATATGTCAGAGAATATAATCTTAAGTGCTCTTTTTTGGACCGATTCAAGATGAGAGGATAAGTAGTCAGGAAGAGCTGCCCATCTTGGAGATGCATATTCAAGTATGGAGCGAATTGAGTAACTGAGTAGTAGATGGTTATAAGATCAGTGTTACCCAGGCCTGCTTTCTTCAATAAACGGAGTGCAAAGAGTCGGGAGTTAGCTTTTTGAAGATATGGTTAACGTGGGTATTACAGGTAAGATCGTCTGATAGATAGACACCCAAGAGCTTTATGTACTATTTAAAAAACGAGCAGGAGTGTTTTATTAGGTTTAAAGCCACGAGCGCGCAGCGTTTGAATAATACGTTTGCATAATAAGTCAAATCCTTATATAAAAATCTTTATATAAAAATATTTATATAAAAATCTTTATATAAAAATCATTATATAGTTTGCATAACAATGGTCTTTTGTTAAAGTGTTCTTTAGCTGGTATAAAGACGAGGGTAAAACACATTACAGCCAGGGGCTGAAAACCTTGTGGCCCACAGGAAAATTGACATTAAGTTATACATGCAAAATACAGATAATATTAAACTAAATTAATATGATCTAAGTCTATATAAACATGCAATTTACATTTAGAAAGGTTAAAATGGTCAAGGCCAATATATTGCTGTATTAAAAATGAACGATAACTTTTCTTAAACGTTTTAATGTTGGAGCTCAGTCTAATGGTCGCGGGAATACTATTCCATAACTTTGTTGCCGATACTGCAAATGATTTACCACCTTCCGTTTCCCGATTGTACTTTGGACAGACAAGTGTTACATTACCGTATCTTGAACTACGCCTTGTGGATATATCGCTTACTCTTGAAAAATTTCTTAGCAAGATAGTCAGGAGCTAAACCATTCATGATTTTAAAAACCAAGCAGCATGTATTTAGCTTGAATTCATCATCAAATGCTAACCAATTCAGTTTTGTTAACGGTTCTCTCTTCTCGTATTCTAGTGCCCAGAATTACTCTCGCTGCTCTCTTTTGGAGTTTGAACACTCTACGTAGGTTTTCTTCGCTTGTCGAAGACCATATCAGTCCACCATACGTATATATCGGCTTAATTATTGCATTGTAGAATTGAATTCGTTCCTTCAGTGGTAGGCAGTGACGTATAGAACGCAAAAGCCCAATCCTCTTCGATAGTTTGTTACAAACCATATCAATGTGTTTATTAAAATTTAATTCTTCATCGAGTATAACTCCAAGAAGTTTATAACTACGAACCTGTTGTAAATATTCACCAGTTTTCGTTGCAATGTTCAATGTTTGGTCATCAGGAGAAAGTTTTCCTTTCAGTCTTTTACCAGTAATGAGCATTGTTTTGGTCTTTTCTGTGTTTAATAGGAGACGATTGTTTTCTGTCCAGTGTTCTAGGCTTCGTGTATTGGTGATAAGATCGTTATGTTAACTCTCTACATCTTGCCAAGAAGAGGAGTTACTGATCGTCGTATCATCAGCAAAAATATCGGCTATTGCGGGGTGTGGTATTGATTCCAGGAGGTTGTTGATGAATATTAGAAAAAGTAAGGGGGCAAGAATCGAGCTTGTGGCACACCATGGGTTAAAAAGTGGGACGAGGAAAGTTGACTATTTAAAGAGGTACATTGCTTGCGCGAAGTAAAGTACGAAGTCACAAGCTTCAAGCTAATATCTTCAAAACCATAAATATGGAGTTTGCTGATTAACGCCTTATGATCAACAAGATCAAAGGCTTTCTTGAAGTCCGCGAAGAGTATTCCATTTATAGAGTTATTATCAAGGTTGTTAATCAGTCTATCATAAATATTTATGAGAGCAGTTTCAGTTGAATGATGGCGTCTAAAACCTGATTGGAATTGATATAAAACATTATTATCATTAAAAAATGAATATGTAGAATCATAAATATGACGTTCGAAGACTTTTGACAGAATTGGCAAAACTGATATTGGTCGATAGTTGTTTTTGTCTGACTTCTCACCGGTCTTATGTAACGGCGTTATTCTTGCCACGTTCCAAGCGGATGGAAATACGACAGTAGTTATACAGATATTCATCAACTTAGTAAGTGATGGAGCTATCGCTGAAGCAGCTATCTTTACCAGTCGAGCACTCAGGCCATCAATACCAGTTGCCTTGCAAGTTGAAATCGACTGTATGAATTCTAATGGTCGTTGCGTCGTCATTTCAGGAAAAACCATCTTGCTTGTTAAATTAAGTTTGCTTACTAGATTAAAGAGGGTACCAGGATCGTAGCTGTTGATGTTGCTATCGGTCAAATTCTTGGCGAGGTTTGAAAAATGAGCATTGAATATTTCAGCCATTTACAATGGTTCTCGTATATGTTCATCATTTTCCTCGAGGAATACAACACCACTACTGTTCGTATTTCTGCCCGAGAGATGTGTAATGATGGTCCAGAGTTTTTTGGGATTATTACCATTTTCTTCAATAGATTGATAAAAGAGTTTCTTTTCGGCTAAGCTAATTGCCGCTGTAAACTTATTTTTTGCTCGTTTTAATTCCTGCCAGTCCTCTTGTAAGTTAGAAAATTTGGCTTTCTTAAGTTTCTGGTCTCGAGATTTAATTAGTTCAAGCAGCTCAGGGGTAAGCGATTTTGGTTGCGTGTCATGCTTAACACTTTTTTCTTAAGTGGCATATGAATATTTAATTACCACTTCGTTAAAAAGGCAATACCATGCATCAACGATATCATCAACGATATCATCCACGTCCTCAAAGACAAAGGCCGAATCCCATGGTGTTTCATTTAATGACTTCAAGAATTCAGACTCATTTAAATTCTTGAAGCTTTGACAGATAATATATTTATGACTGCTGGGAGCATTTATGGGTTGTTTATATAAGCGGACTCCAACAGTAGGCAAGTGGTCTGAAATACCAATATTTGGGCAAGAAATGTTTAACACACTCTGTCTGGCTTATTACTCCAAATGTAGTCTAGACATTTGCCACAAATTGGCCGAGTAATCAGTGTTACTAATTGAGTAAACTTGGCATCTTTCAAGGCTTTCACAATACGGTGTTTCACGCAATCTTTGTCCAGGGTATTAATATTAAAATCATCAAGTAATATAATTTCGGAGTTTAGTAATTGCGCTCTTTCAATATTGTCTACAAGTTTGATATCTAGCTCGGATTTAATATTCGGAGGACGATAAATCCCAGCCACGAAGAGCGGTCTTCTTGACTTAAAAGGGCAAACCTGTAGCCAAAGAATTTCTAGATCGGCCACTTCTAAATCCGTTCGACGCTTCACATTAAGTTCATTGTTGACATACATTAAAATGCCGCCACCTGAACTAGTCTTTCTATCATGTCTAAAAAGATCAAAACCAGGTACCTGCACTGTTCGGTTGTTGATTAAAGAGTTTCTGTCAATTAATACAGGAATATCAAGTCGTCTTTCGCCATTGGAGTGTATCATATGCATTTTGATCTCTTCAAACTTGTTCTCGGTCAGATAATTCACATTCCACTGTCCGAAGCGTAAACCATTACGAGGCAGATCAAAACTATTCCACTCATCTGGTCCCGGGTTTTGTTCAATATCACGTACCGCAGAACAACAAGCACACAGATACATTTAGCTCTGGCAACACAGCGAGTTTGGAAAGCCGTAACAACATTGATATTTTCCTCCAATATGAGATAATAGACTCGCTTTTATATGAAGCAATTCTCGTAAGAACCATGAAAACTTCATAATTTACGACAGACGCAGATCGCCCTGCATAAAACATTCCCAATTGGCCGGCAGGAACATTTACTTCACATCGAAGTGCCTTTGGATAATAGTTAGACATCAAAAGAATAGTAAGAATTGTAAAAACCAAGAGCTCTCTTAAAGCATGACTTGCCGCCATCTTTGTATTGATGTATTAAAGCTGTGTACTCTTTCAACGCATTGTCCATTAATGAACATGATTGCTCACATGGAATTCGGTATTGAAGAAAATTTCTAATCATTTCTTTGCATTTTTGGGAATTTGGAGATTTCTTCAACAACTAAAGGCAATAGACTAGGAGAGCACCTTGGGACTACTTCCAATGCTGTTGTATCATCGACAAATTTTAGACGACCATTCCAGTCCTTTAATAATGGGTTAACCAAGAAAGCAAATAGAAGAGGACCCAGACATATTCCCTGGGGTAAACCTCCATTTGCAGTTTTCCACGAGGATTCATGGCAATCCACTTTGACACATTGTTGATGGTTGGTCAAGAACGCTTTAATCCAGCGGGTAAGGACAAGGTGGACATTAAGATTTCCAAGTTCGTTTATAATAACGCTATGGTCCACTAAATTAAAGCCCATCCCGAAATCGGCGAAAGACAATCTGATGGAGTTATGGCCACTGTCTAAGGCAGCAAAAATTTGATGGGAAGGTACACCAGGGCATGGGTAGTTGATTTGTTTCGAAGTGCGAATTGCTTAGGGTCAAGTTGATCTATTACTTGAGGCATCAACGAGTTAATTGTGAATCTTTCCATAACTTTGGAAATTTGCGAGGTCAATGTGGGAGGAAGTACTTTAGGAATGGGCCGGATAATAGATAGCTTTAACTGGGAGGGAACCACGCCTTGTGAGAGGGATGAGTTGTAAACATCAGCAATTACAGGAGCAAGTTCAAAGGCAAACATTTTAAGGATTTTGTTAGGGATTAAGTCAGAGCCAGGAGATTTGTTAGTTTTGATCTTACGTAAGGCTTGATAAACCTGACCTGTGTCCACCAGGAATGAGGCAAGGACATCCGTTTTCGTCACGGTACTATCGGGCTGAAGTGGGCTGAAGTGGGAAGTCAAACTAGTAAAGAACGTGTTTATGGATTCAACAAGATGTTGACAGGTAGGGTTGTCGGAGGACAACAGTCGGTGGTGCCATGAGTCCCGAGAGGATAGACCACCAATAGACTTAACTTCTTTCCACCATTTCGATGAATTGCCTTGTTTTAATTTACACACTGGTGTAGCGTAGTATTTGGCTCGAGCAGACTTGACGTCCATGATAACTTTATTGCGCCATTACTTAAACATTGTCGAGGATTTACCGTGTTTATAAAGTGCCTTTTGGCGATTACTTATGCATGAAACTTCTGAGTGAGGGAGTCATCCATGACTTGTCTTACTTTCGTACGTGTAATAGGCAAGAACTTATCCACCATGTTCGCTATAATGACATGATATTTTTGAAATTTCAGATCACAGTCATGAACGAGTAAAACGGGTGACCAATCGTAAGAGGAAATTCATTGGCCAAATCTTCGTAAGCTACTGTATCTGAGGTCTCTTTTCGAAATAGATCTGTTATCTGGTTTCTGTGACCTGGGGTTACGTGTCAGGGTAAGAATGGTATTATGATCGCTAGTTCCAAGTTGAGGGAGTTGTACCTGTTTAAAGAAGGATTTCTTCACGTTAGTTAGGCACCAATCCAATATAGTATTGCCTCTTGTCTAAATATTGATTATTTGGGTCAAACCGGAAATTCTATTAACCATTCTTTCGTCAAAACCCGTGCCTGAAGGGTTGAAATCTCCGGTGATAAGAAGTAAGGCGTCGGGATGGTTACGAAGAAAAGTATCGACATTAGTTTGGATGTGATTATATAACTCGACATTTTCGGCGGCGCCACAGGATGTAGAGTGGTAAATGACAGCTAATAAGATTATAGAAATAGATCGAGGCAGACGGTGGCCTGATAGACAACCACAATGATTCAATACCCTGGTCTTCACAGGTACGAAGTCTTTTGCATGATAATTTACTGTTAACGTAAATGCAAACGCCATCTCCAGAGGATGACGAACGGTCGTTGCGAAAAATCAAATAATTTGCGAGGGAAACTGCTGAATCAGGACTACTGCTATTTAGTCATATTTCAGTGATACAGATAAAATCGGCTTCGTTGATTTGGGAAACTGCTTCAAGTTCATGCACCTTGGGCAGGGCCGGATTAACGTTTCGCGGGGCCCGTGGCATATTATTGGAGCGGGGCGCATTGACACCCCCCCCCCCCAACCGCATTTTAGACCCTGGATTCAGTAAGATTTAAAAATATCCTTTTGTATCCTCCCGTTTTTTTAGTTTGGGGGTTCGCTTTTGGGGGCCTTGGATTCTTTAGGGCCCCACGCTGTTTGAATACCGCGCTAAAACAGGGAACAAAACAGGGGCCTATCACGTTTTCTGGGGACCTTGGGCTCTTTGGGACCTCGCGCTGAAACACTAAAACAGGGAACAAAAAGAAAACGTTTGGGGTCGATTTTTTGGGTCCTCGAGTTTTACTGGGGGGCTTAGGCTCTTTCGGATCCCGTTCTGGCGCACTGTTTGGGCCTCGCGCTGAAACAGAAAACAAAAAAATCAGAAAATAAATAGAAGAGAGTAGCGCGGGGCTCCCAAAAGCGCGGGGCCCGTGGTATATGCCGCTTCTGCCATATGGTTAATCTGGCACTGACCTTGGGGAGAATCGAACGGACTTTAGATACTAACAAACGTGGACACGGTTGGGTGGGCAAACTGGGATTTGCATTAATGATTGTGGAGGGTATGATGGAGGGGGGTTGCGCAGGGGGAATGGGTTGGAATTGAACGGTGGTACATGAGAAGTAGCCTCTATTCTCCTCAGTCTCGTGAACCAAGAGCCCTTTGGAAACTTTACCAAAAATTGGATTGTTGCTGGGCACGACGAAATAAGGGGTCGTGGAATTTTTTTTTGTTTTTTGGTGGATAGGGTAGATAACCATTGATTGGAGGTGGTTTTACGAACGAACGTGGTGAGGGTTCGGCGTGGGAGAAGAGACATCTAAGTCCCTTCAGGCAGAAACCTTTCTTGCGTAAAAAAGGGCAGAATACAGGACTTTTTGACGCACCGGGCATGTGACGGGGTTGGGGGCATTAATTAAGTTCTGATGGGAAAAATCACAGCGGTCGCCTTTTATACACCAACCACGGCGCAGAATAAATGGGCATGGCCTATTGCTGTTAGATAGATTGTCTTTCCTCCGATCTTTCTCTAAGGCATATACAAATCGTTTCCTTCATCCGAACAGTGGATAATAGGGTTATCGTTTAAAAGAGTCACAGACTGATCTTTATTTATGTCGGCTGTTGAAAATATTGAGTGGTTGTCAGAGTTAATTGGACTGTCATTCCTTTGTGATTTCGCTTTGGTTGAGCAGTTTTTATCAGAAACGGGCGAACCATGTAATTGCATGGGGATTAGCAAACAAAAGAAATTCCTAAGAATCAAACTTTGACTTGAACATAAAATTCCTGTTTAAGATGCATGTTAATTGCCTTATCTTGAGTTCTGATTATATTTTCCAAATTCCAAATCTTTTTGTTTTGGTTATATTTTCTCAATTTTAGCCAGTATTTCGCTATTATTCTTACACACACTCACACATTCGCAAGGACTCGAGTTTTGGCTAACACTCGTTGTACTCTTAGGGGCCGATTACATGGAGCATTTTCAACCCCGGGGCTGAACTCAGCCCTGTTTACAGGGTTGAAATTTCAGCCCTGTCTGTAATAACACCGCGGAAAAACGTCTGCGCATGCGTCCACCTTACCTGTAATAGTATTGCGAACTTGATGAGAAGCTGTTCCGAACGTTTCCGAAGGCTCAAAATGGCGGTAAAAAGGAGTGACTTCATTGTGCGTCTTTACAGCCACATTTCGAGTGCAAAAATAAACATGTCATTCTAAAAACTAGGAATAAATACAGCCAGAAGGTTCAAGAAATTGTATTGTACAAGAACATGAACTAAAGATGATTGTTGACAAATTTATCGTCTGAAACATTTTGTTTATCAACTAAGCAACGACAATTTCCGAATTTTCGTTTGAGATACATTTCTTTAAAAAAAACTGTGTCGCCAAATATAGAAAATTTTCGTGTTCACAATAATTAAACTTTAGGATTTATTCCACAATTTAAGTGGGTTAAGAAGCTTAACTTTTCGAGAGTTTTCTTAACTTTTGAGTTTGAATTTTTGTTTTGAATAATTTTGCAAACATTTTCGAAGTCGTGTCCGTTAAAATCAACAATTTTTTACATGAATTATATTTCATTCCATACTTTAAATGCCAGGACGCTTTCAATTAATGTCTAGTCTACCCATTTGCTATATGTTCTCGTTTGTTTTACTAATTTTTGACCAATTAATAAGCATGTTTTTGTTTTAGAAATTGATATTCAAATTCCCCACCATATTTTCATAATTTGGTGCATGCGCAGACGTTTTTCCGCGGTGTTGTCTGTAATACAAAACTCTATCAAAATCAAACGCGCGATTACATGACAAAATTTTCAACCCCAGGGTTGAAATTTCAACCCCGGGGTTGAACTCAGCCCTGGGTTGAAAATTTTGTCATGTAATCGTTTCAACCCAGGGCTGAAATTATCAACCCCGGGGTTGAACTCAGCCCTGGGTTGAAAATTTTGTCATGTAATCGTTTCAACCCAGGGCTGAAATTATCATGAGTTATTCGAGCATACGTGGTAGTGACTATTTATTACAAGAAAACAAAATAAAGGCTTTTTTACTTCCGAGAATCGATGCCGAGAACGTATAGTAAAGCGTTTCAACCCCGGGGTTGAAATCGTCCATGTAATCGCAAAAAATGTCCGGTTAACAGGGCTGAGTTCAACCCCCGGGTTGAAAGTTGTCCATGTAATCGGCCCCTTAGTTGAATCAGGTTTACATTGCCCACTCTGAGTGCCCGTTTGCATTACAACTTGCAAATTGCCGTCTTTGTTTTGAACGGAATTATCTCCACAGTTAGTTTGTAAATTTGGACTGAAAGATAGATTTAGCTTCGATACCTGTAGTTCTTCGTCGTTGCTTGAGTGTCTTAGGATCTTCTAGGGCAGTTGTCTTGATATATCAGACGACAAGTAAACGATATTATTATGGTCGTCATTGTTGGGCGCTCTAGTTGGGCGCGCTTAGTCCAGCCCGTCGCTGATTAGACATTCTCTGGAGCAATTCGCCGACTTCGAGGATGATAAGTCCCTGTCTACACATAGTTGTATTAATTTTTCTCTTAATAAATCTCCATCTTCTCCATTAAATGTTAGCGAGTTTTGCATATGTGCATACCATGTAATGACTAGATCCGTGTCCAACAATAAAAATTGTTTAGTAGAACCGCCAGGCGAGCGCCATTTGCCTTCGCCGACGACAAAACATTCGATAAATTTCTTTAAGCAATCAAGTTCTCCTGTCCATTTCAATCGCTTCCCGTCATATTCAAAATTTTTTAGCTTACTCCAATTCTTTCCAGCTGAGAGAGAGTCGAATGCCAATACATTCAGACTAGATTTACTTGCCGGAGTAGCAATACCCAACTTGCAACCTTCCATGATGGCCGAACAATGAATCAACAAGGTTATTATGTCTATATCACCAGATGGCAATCGTATCACGCACAGATGCAACAAGTTTCGTGTCCGCTTCCTCGCGGTCGCTGGTTAATTCTGGAAATTATGTGGCTACATCATGATCATTGATCTTCTAGCACACTCACTTGTTGGAAAAGTATACAATTAACTTTTACCTTTTGACCCGAAAAAGACAAGGACAGCACTGGCGATGAACTAGTTGCATTTGTGCGTGCTAGTCAATTTCCACCTAGCTCAACGGCAATGGTACGGTCGCCATCTGGTGATATAGACATAATAACCTCGTTCATTGATCACGATTTTTCGGACACGCAAACTCTGATTGATAATGGCAGTGGGCAGAACAGGAAAATCGTCGACGTGACGACAACTGGAATGTCCCCTGGTCACAGAAGAGCTCATTTGGGAAGGCATGCCTTTTCCGGAAACGATTATGTATCTAGCTTTTCCCGAAAGGGAAAACAGGCCATGCGGAAAGCCGTGACCAAGAACACTGCCTTTATCGATCTATTTTCGTCCTTGGGTACGGAGGTCGCAGCAAGCGAGGAGTTGGTTCGGGGTTTAGAATGATTCTTTCGTGCTATATACGGGCATCCGCGTATCCTCTCACTGAATGAGGCAAGGAAGAAAGTATCTTGGAACAAGTTCAACAAGGAGAAGAATATCATCAACCTAAATCTGATGCAGCCATGCCAATCAAATCTTCGTCATCAAATCATGAGAGCTAACTATGTCGCGTACATCTTTTGACACGTCAATCAGCTGCTAGTAGAACTTGAGAGGCCCTGACGAGCATGGATGGGACAGAGATGAAAACGTTGTCTAGAGTGACATTTGCTATCCCGAGGAGATTGATGCGCTACTGGCAAGCACGGAGAGTGAGAACAGTTCGTCCTCCAACGATGACTAGGAGGATGATTTGGATGTGGAAATTGAAGACACGAGTAAATTTTGAAAAGGAAAATGCAAGGTTTGTGATCAGACTGTACATGCTTGTTATGCTATGCATAGCATGACCTCGATTTAATTGGGCAACAGTCTTGCTTTTTATCAAAAAGAACAGAAATCACTAGCTTTCTTGCTTGTTTAAGTAGGATCTTCCAATAATTACACTAAATCAAGGATATGTGTATCAAAAGGAGGCTAGAGGTCCCAATCAAGGATATGTGTGTCAAAAGGAGACTAGAGGTCCCATCAGAGATTTGCAGTAACTTCGATTTTTCAAATTAGTGCACCGAAATTGAGCAAAATCACAAACTTCCTTGGCTATCTAAGGCACATAAATAGGCACCAAAATGAGGCTATACGCACCAAAATGAGGCTGAAGGCCTCGGTATTTTCCTGTGTAACATCGATTTTTTAAATCAGCGCACCGAATTTGACCAAGATCACCAACGTCTTTGCCTATCAAAGCTAACTAATAATTTCCCTCTGAACGCTACAAGTTTATTAGTGCTTTTGTACTATTACCAGGTGATCTCGTGTTCGTATTTTAGCCAATCAGCGCTCAGAAAGGGTTGTCCGAATAGAAATCCATTTTGATGTATTCAGTCAATTATATCTTTCGTTATTCTCTATGAAACTAGTTGAAATTTTGTAATTATGTTTGCTTATGAGAACTATAACTCTGACAAAAATATGGAATCGAAATAAAGTATATTACAGGAGATATTCAGTTGTTTTAATCATAAAATGGATTTCTATTTGACAACTAGTGCCAGTACTTTTCCGCGTATCAAGATCATCTGGTACGTACTACCCTCTTGAAATAAAGACTCTATATTTGCACTAACTATATTTGCACCAAGACAAGGCTGCTTGCTGTAACATCGATTTTTGAAATTAGTGCACCGAAATTGACCACAATCACTGGGTTTCCTAGCTAATTACCCGTGTAACATCGATTTTTGAAATTAGCGCACCGAAATTGACCACAATCACTGGGTTTCTTAGCTAATTAAGACAACTAACTAACGTCCGTGTAACATCGATTTTTGAAATTAGCGCACCGAAATTGACCACAATCACTGGGTTTCTTAGCTAATTAAGACAACTAACTAACGTCTTCCCTATATATGCTCCCAAACCAGGTCATATGCATCAAAACGAGGCTGAAGGCCCCGGTATTGACCCGTATAACATCGATTTTTGAAATCAGCGCCCAATATTGACCAAAGTCACATATTCTTATAAATTTCCTCCTCGGGTTACGATACCCCCTTCTCCTCCTAGACTAATGTTAATACGATGTGTGATCTTACCTGGTTTTTGAGGTTCACAAGTACCGTTTATCTCAATAAAATTGTTTTGACATGTACAATTATATCCTTCTGCTGCTCCGATTCGTTCGCACGTTCTATTTTCTTTACATGGATTTTTTGCACAAGGGTTTTTTTCTATATATGATGTTAATATGAGACAATGATAAATACATATGATAGATAATGACAAAATTACTGGATGCTGATTGGTTGAGAGGAGTACAATTATTTCATTAATTGTACTGCATTACAATTAATGATTTTCCCAAAACAAACAAAATGGCGGAAAAGTATTTTAAACACAAATGTGAAATGAAATTGCTCTAGAGGAACTAGATAAAAATAGGCCTACGAACGAAAGCACCAAATTTTGCTTTAACAAAAGAACTAAATGAAAATACGAACAAAAGCACCAAATTTTGGCTGAAAATCTGGCAGGACTGGGCTTTGGCGAGAGAATGTGATGTTGACATTGATAAGTATCCAATTTTGTTATGCTAATAATAAACAAGTAATCATGCGATGTTGCTCGCACAATTAGGGATTGATAGTACTCGTGATGTTTGGAAATTTGCCAAATTGGACTCGCCCCGGCGGCTCGTCCAATTTTAGCAAAATTTCCAAACATCACTCGTAATATTAATCCCTAATTGTACTCGCCATTGCATGATTACCTATACTAACATTTTCCATTTGGTTGCCATTACTGTTCGATGATTACCTATACTAACATTTTCCATTTGGTTGCCATTACTGTTCGTAATATATATATATATATAGTGTAGACTACGACATGATATCTGAAGATAATTTAATAAAACCTAAACCTAAATATATATATATATATATATATATATATATATTGTAGACTACGACATGATATCTGAAGATAATTTAATAAAACCTAAACCTAAATATATATATATATATATATATATATATATATATATATATATATATATATATATATATATATATATATATATATATATACGAGTAGGTTTGTGTATACGAAACGCAAAGAGTGCTCAATATCATAAAGATAGAGCAAATGTAGAATTGACCATATACGAGTAGGTTTGTGTATACGAAACGCAAAGAGTGCTCAATATCATAAAGATAGAGCAAATGTAGAATTGACCGCCTGATGATTCTTTACTGATGAAACAGGCAGTTGCGAATTTTGAGGCAA